TCAAAAAGATATAAACTGGAAAAAATGGCCTTAATTTCTTTTGTACAGAGAAACTTCACAATATCCTTAAGTTTCCTTTTTAACACACTATCTAATCCTTGGCTACACATTAACTGTATACCATTGACATATAGATCCTGAATATCCTTTAGTTTACATAATAGATTAAGGGGGTCACTAGATTATTTTTTTAAAGAGAAAGCAGCCTGGTTTCTCTTGGTTCTTCTCCAGGAAATTCTTGGCCAAAGACGGCCCGGGGAATATTTGCTATATACACGTAATTCTATCATGAGCTCATGACACTGGTGTCTGAGTCCTCATATGAAGAGAGGGTGATACTGTTTCTTCGTTAACTTTTTCCTACACACGGGGCACTGTTTCTTTTGCCTCACAACAGCGTCTATGCAGGTGGAGCAGAAGACGTGCCCACAGACGGTGGAACATAAGGTACGGGAGGATTTTTGTATGGTGCCAACGGAATCAAAGCAGACAAGGCACGAAATGGTTGGCTGCTCTAGTGCAGGTGGGCTCGGGGGTGCTTCTGGTGGCGTGATTCGTGCAACTCTCTGATTATGTTCTTCAGCTACAATCATTGCGGCGTTATAGGTGTTAGGAGGCTGCCCAAGGACTCGTGGCATTCTTCCTTCTACTTCAGCCATGAGCTCGTCCAGACCTTGCACAATCTCAGGAGTTCGTTGCGCATCTCTTTGGGAGTCTGGGAAAAGCTGAGGAGATCTAGATCTGCTTCGCTGACCTGTAAAAAATAACAATGATAATGAGATTCAAAATGAATAGAAATAAACGAAGAAAAATAAAAATTACCAAATTACAAAGTATTATGAATAATAATATTTTATGACTAAAAATTTATAAGAAATTTTTAACAATAAAAGAAAGTTCGGTAAGTTTATCCCTAACTACCACAAACCCCTTCAGCTTGTCTGTCCACCCAGCTGTGAAAAAGCATAATTTTTCAGATTTCAATAATACAAAGAATAAGCAGCAACCAGGTATAAATCTTATCTTATCATATTTATGCATTCTCCAATTTTCTGTCGAAGTAGTCAGGCACAAGTTTCTGCACATGGAAATAATGTTCTCCCTAGGGCCAGTGCTCCTCCAGGCACAGCTCGCGGGTGGTATATTCCACTTATGCTTACTGGTGGAAGTCGTGCAAGAGCCTGTTCCTAAAGCCCACTGAATCTAATCTCCCTCCAAAGGCTTTGTGAGTAATGTCTCAGTCCCTTGCTTATCAGCAACATCGTCTCATGGCGAGACATTCCCGTCACTCTGGCCCTCAGCCAAATTTTTTCCATAAAGAGATGTTTCCATCACCCACACTTCTGCCAATCTTTTTATAAATGTCAACACACAACCACAGGATCCAACAGGAATAAGGGAGCAACACCATACTGTAGGTAGAGAATGTTTAGGTCTTGACATCTTTCCTCAAGGTGCAAAAACCTGGGTTGGAATATCAACACATTCCCCTTTTACTTGTTATTACCAGACAACACAACTAAAACAATTTTCCAGAATGCAATGTCAACTTTTCTGTTACAAAACATAAATATCTAAATAATTTTGCAGTCTGAAATGTGATGTTAACTTTTAAAAATTTAATTCTGATCCATTTGCATTTTATGATTCCTTCATTATCTTTAAGAATTTTCATAAAACTGGTGAATTAGTACTTTTACTTTTCTGAGGATATATATCAATTTTCCTGTAGTTATTTCAGACATTAACTTTCACATTCAAGACTTATCATCTACAGATCTGATTTCTGCTTGTAATTTTTAGGATGATTTTACTTGTTTGTATCTAAGGAATGTTTCAAAATGTCTGAGGACCTCAGTTCCATCTTTCTAAATTGTCCAGACTGCTTTTCTTCAAATGGAGGGTAGCCATATGTTCTCTGTAGTGAAGAGTATCACTCGTTGAAATTTCCTTAGTCTGGCATCCTGCACCTTTTAATCACATACCCTACATGTATCTCAAAACAGACGAAGATAGATTATATCATAATAACAACAATAATAATAATAACAATAATAATAAAGAAACAGGAAAGGGGAGAAAGAGAAGAAAGAGTAATATACCTAAAGGACAGAGATACAAAAAAAGGCAAGAGAAACACCGCAATTTACGGAACACGAGTATACATACGCCTGAAAGAATGCCGCTGCTCCCTGGGTAACCTTGGCACCAAGACACTAGGCCTGGCTCGGGGGTTATCTTCGACGGTTTCCACTGGCAAGTCTCCCAAGAGGTTGCCGAACAGAAGATCTGGATTGTGGAAATCAACACCCTGGGACTCGAACGGCCAGTGATTCTGTTGCCTCTCAAAAGGGAGCGCATTTATGTTGATGTCCTCGTTAATGTTCTCAATAGGGTTGTGTTGTCTGTCTGTCGTCAGGTCCTCTATAACCTCAAGAGGGGTGTCATTCCCGCTGATATTCCTTCTTCTCTCCATTCTTCTCTGCTCTGTTCCCAGATACTGAAATGGATTTGCTTACAATCAATGCTGAATCCAGGGGGGGGAGGAGGAGGGAGGGGGAGGAAGAGAGAGAGAAGAGAGAGAGAGAGAGAGAGAGAGAGAGAGAGAGAGAGAGAGAGAGAGAGAGAGAGAGAGAGAGAGAGAGAGAGAGAGAGAGAGAGAGAGAGAGAGAGAGAGAGAGAGAGAGAGAGAGAGAGGAGAAGAGAAGAAGAGAGAGAGAGAAGAGAGAGAAGAGAAGAGAAGAGAAGAGAAGAGAAAGAGAAGAGAAGAGAAGAGAAGAGAAGAGAAGAGAAGAAGAGAAGAGAAGAGAAGAGAAGAGAAGAGAAGAGAAGAGAAGAGAAGAGAAGAGAAGAGAAGAGAAAGAGAAGAGAAGAGAAGAGAAAAGAGAGAAAAGAGAAAAAGAGAAAAGAGAGAAGAGAGAAGAGAGAAGAGAGAAGAGAGAGAGAGAAGAAGAAGAGAGAGAGAAGAGAGAAGAGAGAAAGAGAGAAGAAAGAGAAAAGAGAAGAGAAGAGAAGAGAAGAGAAGAAGAAGAGAAGAGAAGAGAAGAGAAGGAAGAGAAGAGAAGAGAAGAGAAGAGAAGAGAAGAGAAGAGAAGAGAAGAGAAGAGAAGAGAAGAAGAGAAGAGAAGAGGAGAGGAGAGGAGAGGAGAGGAGGGAGAGGAGAGGAGAGGGAGAGGAGAGGGAGAGGAAGGAGAGAAGAGAAGAGAAGAGAAGAGAAGAAGAAGAAGAGAGAAGAAAAGAGAGAGAGAGAAGCATACATTTAAAGAATGAATCATGATAACATAAAATCAAGTCCCATTACAAGGCTATAGACTACTAGGATTATAATGTAATCAATACAAATAACAATCATAATATAATATAATAATAATAATAATAATAATAATAATAATACCACAATAACAATAACATCAACAACAACAACAAAAATAAATAAATATATAAAAATCTAGGAAAAGGGTAAAAGATCTGATCCAGGACAACTAGTAATTGACTCTTTGATGGCTAAGCTAACTAAACTCCCGTGGAACCATGTATGAGTGAGCAAAATTTGTGAACTAAGGGATAATATACACAAAACATAAACTATCTCTAAGAAAAAAATCATCAGTGAATATCTGCCATGCATAACTCTATAAAAATAATCATTGGTTAATATGCAAAAAAAACAAAACAAATCTAGAATAAATAATTATCAGTTATATTAAAAAGCAAAATTCTATAAGAAATAATTACTAGACAATACAAACAAAACCTAATAAATCTGTAGTAAATAATCATACTTATGGCTACTGCACAGCTACCCTGTTTGGCTTTTGAGGGAGTTACTTTTCATCCCACACCTTTGTGCAACAAATGGACAAGTACAGGTAATGGCATGACGATTAGGATAATACTCCGTGATAATCCCGATAATAGGTCACTCACAGATTCTCACACTCACTCACTCACTCACTCACTCACTGACACACACACACAGATAATGCACAATATTTATCATTTTCAATTGTGCTCTTCACAAAATCACACTCTGGTTCATTTGGTAAAGAAAAACAATGTTTATACTTCTCAAATCTAATCATACCACAGGAAAAATGCACAAAATTTTTGAGTGTGGTATCACCATACAAAGAATTTTTCATCCATTTGATATTGAAATTTGTGCAATTGTAATACAATATATATATTGAAAATGTTTAGATCTGTAAATGCAACTTTCTAAATATGAAAATTTGGTATTAACTCCCTAGCTTTTAGGCACGGTTGAACTGCCTTGTGTACGTGCAGGTCTCGTGGTGCACGTGGCTATCTGGGCTGAATCACGTCATTTTGGTGTGAAATCTGGGGGCTAAGGGGAGCCAGCGATAACTCAATCTCGGGTGTTTTCTTTTTTGGGGGGTATCTCCAGGCTTTCTTGGGTGCAATTCAAAACTACTGTCAGCAATTTGCTTAATGAAATTATCAATATCTTTAAGTATCTATAAAGTCAACAAAAGTTATGTTAGAATTAGTTTTTATTACCAAAACAAATAAACAAAAAATGTTAAATGGCTTTTTGAAACCCAGGATCTACACTCACGTCGATGACCCATCTGATTGACGTTAATCTTAAATCAGTAAATCAAAATTATATGCCATGAACATAAAACTAGAGGGCAAATGGGGAATAAGTCCTTGTGCCCCATGTTGCTCAAATGAGAAGTACTATGTGCAGTGTTACTCAAGTGAGAGGCATATGCAGTCTGGTATGGCAGTGCTTTTGGCAGTTAAAACACTATGCCTGGCTGGGCACTCGGACACAAGTCAGCAGGTGCTAGATGAAGACAAGGACAGTTGAAACGCACCTTTAACGGATGTATTTTTCCCCTACAATATCCCCCAAATTATCAATCTTCTTTTCCCCTTTCCTATGAAAGAACCAAAAGGTGAAATATATTTCCTTTGAAGAACTATACACTGTGGTATTTTCCTTTCATTTTTTCCTAGTTTTTCTAATTATAACCTCTTGTGAAGCAGTTAGATTTTATGAAGTTCCATTTTTCCAATAATTATTTTGAGTTTAGTTGAACATTATACAATCATCATTCTTCAGAATTCAGCAAAATCACTTTTGTAAACCCTAAAAAAAGGACAGTGTCAGATCTAGGATGTTCTGGGGGAGGGGGAGGAGGGGGAGAAGTGTATGAGGGGAGAAGGCAGGGTCAGCTCTCCAAGTTGAGATCTTTAGCATCTCATTACCAATTTTATTACAACTATATTTATAGAGCTGGCAAAATTGTTTACTTATTCTTGTACATCATACATTGCTCTGCTCTTTAACCCATTAGATCTGGGTGATGTGACCATCACATCATGAAAAAAATTGGCTGAAGGTCGGGTGGCTGGAATATACTCTCATTTGGCTGAGGGCCAGGATGACAAGAATGATTCATCACAGGTGCATAGAGTCTTGGAAGATGATTAGCCACAGTGAGCATTTAAGAAGAGGCTCTTGCATTATTTCCATTGGTAAATGAGTGGAATCTACCATATGTGAACCACTGTCATAAAAGTGATGGCTTCAGGAAGGATACTGTTACCAAGGGGAGGATCCTATTCCTGTCTGCCAAAAATGGAAGAACAGAGTGTATTACAGAAAATTCTTAAAAAAAAAAAAAAAAAAAAAAAAAAAAAAAAAAAAAAAAAAAAAAAAAGTGACAAAATGTTAATTATTGCTATTGTTCTTGCAGAATGGTGATTACCTAGAGATAAGGAGTTTTTCCAAGAAGACAGTCTTATCACCTTGATACAGCATATCAAATGACAAATATAGAACTTGAAAAATGGCAAGGAAGCAAAAAATGCTTTTGCAGAGAGAGATAATAACACTGCAAAGGGGAGGCAAGGAGCCTTGACACCGCAGACACGTATTCCTGTGGGCCAGGCAAGTCGCCACTCAAGGTAGCCTAATGGCTTGAATTTGGCTGTGAGATTTAAGGCTCTCACTTATGGAATGACTGCTTGACCCAGTCTAAGAAATCATAAGCAAATTGTAGAGTGTACGGTTCTCATCTGACCAAGAGGGAGGAGCAAGTTGGGCTTTCTGGCCCACTCATAACCTGCTTCAGGTCTGGCATTCAGAAGTTTAAATATCTCTGGCATTATTGTACAATGTACTTCAGTTCCATCTGCTGAATGAGCATGATAGCCACATCAGCTGATAAGGAGTTTTGGAGGAGTTTCTAAAATTCTACAACAATAACCCTGCCTGTGGTGAGTCAAGTGCAGGGAATATAGTAATAAAAGAGAAATGAGAGTTAATCATACCTACCAAGAAAAATTAAAGGGGAAGAAAACAACTTAAATATTTAATAATTTCAGAAGTTACTCTGTCTTTTCCCTCTCCCTCTTCTCTTTCTCCAACTAAAAATGGATCTTAAGAATAGAAGCATTGGATTTGAAGGCTTCAAGTGATAAGCTGATATCATTAACACACAGGAAAGGATACCAGGCGTCCTATTTTCTCATTGTTCTACCGGGTGTCTTGAGTGAGACATCTGAATAACATTTATTATGTATATCAGTATTCCCAAAGAAATATCTTATTGTCATTACAGTAATTATTTTTACTTCTACATAGCTGGAATTCACATCATAAATGCAAGGAAGTGACCTCAAGACTTCATAATGAAGAAAAAAAGTAATTTTACAGCTGCCACCTCTACTTCTACAAAGTAGTAATTGACATCATATACTCAAGTGATGTCAGTACATTAGGCTTTGATGTGATTGGACATGTTATGTGACTAGTGACCCAACTGGCTTTGACCTCACTGATTATCATTGGTTCCTTACTCCCAGTCAGGTCAAAGCATGGGAATTTTCCCATTCATTAATAGCAATTGAAATGGCTCAGTGGTGTCCACTGTGCCAATCTCTGCCTTTCTCCATTTCAGAGGACAGTCTAGATTAAGTCAGCCAGGTCGACACCATGATTGTTAGCAACAAGCCACTCTCCATTATGGTATGGGAACAAAATGCTATGGGATTTACTTTCTTTCTCTGGCAGCAGAAGGACAATGTCCTGAAGTGTTTTGGGTTTGCTGGTTGTCCTGGGTGTGTCCAGCAAACCTCTGAGATTTTTCTGTGTTTTTCCACTGAAGATTTCTCAGCGCTCATTATTAGGGGGCCAACTGGTGAATTTCATAATTTGCTTTTGCGTTCCTTCCATTTATATTCATATTAAGGAAACATCTACTGAGAAGTCAGAATATATTATTTACATTTCTTCCCCCCACTCCCACAAGCATGCAGCTGTCAAGCCTACTGCTGTCTCATCTCCCATGAGGATGAGGCTACCCATGTCCATTCAGGAAGTCCGTGCATACCTTGGTATTTGTGTTGTGATGGGGATACACTGCATCCCTGTTACTGCAAATACTGGTCAACTCATCTCTTCCTGTGGAATGACATCTCTACATAGGTCATGCTGAGGGAAAGGTTTGACCAGCTCATGACTCG